TATAGATATTATAATAAACTTAATGATCATTTTGAATACAAAATATCATGTGCAGCTTTTAAAATTATTTCGTTGCTGTGGCAATTGTTCTCGTACATATTTTGAGTTATTAATCGTATGTGACACACTACTATACATTTGACAAATTGTAAGATTAATGTTTTCATGAAATTTACTTGTGTGGTCCACAATAGCTTATGTCTCCGCCAGAGAGCGATATTCTTATCGTGTCCGGCAGTGGCAAAGACCTCGTCGTCAGGATGAACCGCCAAACCCCACAATTGTCTGCCATGGCCGAATACGACTTGATTGAACCTTCTTTGTAGAGAACCTTCAAGAATGTTGTTACGCGTAGTTCCCACATAAATGTTTCCGTCGTTCCGACCGGGACGTTGCGGATATATACTGCGGACTCCACCTACCGATTCTGGCAGCTGTGTAACGTAAAATATTAACTCGATTTGAATAAAGCTTACTCATTAAGTAATCACCGAGTTATTAGTTATAAACTATTAGTGTATTAGACTTTAAGCAGAAAACTTAAATAATTAATTGGAATTAGAATATTAGAATATTATTTTGGCTTAAACCGCTTTTATTTTCCTTTTTTCTATAAGCGATTAAGGTATTTTCTTAAGTTTACCTTACTTCGTTATTTATACATAATAAATAATAATTGTGTATTTTTGATCTCTGAAAAAGAGGGAATTAAAAACAAAGTAGAAAATAAAAATTATCCGATAAGCAGTTCCCAATAACATGTCCAAAAAGCAGAATTGAGAAAGTTACCTTACAAGTTACTTTTTATTATAGAAATTGAGTGCAATTATACAAACTAAATACCGATGAAAATGAGATTTGATATTGAGTGGAATTAGTTCGGGTATTTTATTTTTTATATTATATTTTATCATATTTGCTTCAATTTTGTATTACTTTTTGTGTGTGTACTCAATTTCTATAACAAATATATGAGGCAACTAAAAAAAAGTAACTCATAAGTAACTTAAAAAGTAACATTCCCAACTTTACTAAAAAGTGTCATACAGTTAAAAAATTGCTTAAAATGTTCAACCTTTGTGTCGGTGATGCGTTTATAATTCTGCAATGAGTCCCAAGCAGCTATTTTCCTATCCTTTTCGCCGCCGGAGAGGAGCGTGCCTTCCGATAACATGACGAGAGAGCTAATGCCCTTGTTATGCGCTTCGAATTCCATTCGTACAAAATATGCCCCGTCCGCATCCACCGAGTATACCGTGATAAAACCATCACTGTCCGCCGTGACGACGTCGCCATCCTGTTCGAACTGGATGCTCGTCACGTGTGTACGGGACGGCTGAAAATATATCAGATCACTTTTATAGTAAACATTTTAGATTATTAAATTGCGATAAAAATGATATACACATATTAAGTGCGCAGCTTAATTCTCGGCCTTTTTCTCTGAACTTTGATATTAATTTATAAAACTCGGTTACTCCGAGTTTCTATGAGAGCTCTAATTGTGTGCGACAGGAATTCTGTTGTTCCAAAAGTTGTTCCTCATCGTTGACTTTCTTTGGCTATGTCCTGGACGTTTTACATTACGAAGATCAAAGTTGCAAGTAGTGTATAGAAAGTAGTATCCTCTTTCGAAGCCGAACAAATCATTTCCTGTGCTTCAGCAGTATTTTTTTTATTGAAAAGCAAAAAAAGGCAATGCCTCAAATATTGCTTCTCGAACGACATTTTACTACTTTTTTTTTTTAATTACATTAGTGCAATCGCCAACTATTTAAATTACAGTTTAAAAGCTTAAAGATGGTGCTCCAATATGACTATACGGCGGGAAATATATAAATTTGAATAGGTACCCTCATTGATTAAAATCAGGGCCCGAGAATTAAGTTGCATGCAAATACAATGTAAAATATTAAAACTACTAGCATATAAGAGTTGCATATTTAATATTATATTATACTTACCGGTTTAATGATATCAGTTCGCTCGAAGAAACCATCTTTTCGCCGATTCCAGAATGTTAAATGGCCGCGCCCATGCGTTATTAAGAGATTATCATCCAGTGGATGAAATGCTGCACCCGTGAGGTCTTCCTGCATGGTCTATACAATAAATAATACAATATACGTATGTAGTATAAATTTTCAACAAGTAAAAGTTAATAAAGAATACGAAAAGTAGAGGACACAGGACTTACTGCTACTTTGCCTAACAAGTGACCCCATTGCCATTGCCACACCGAAAGTATAGCTTCTCTTCCAGAATCCACGGCAAGTACGTAACTACCGCCATTCTATAATATCAAATTATAAATACAATACTTACGTCTCTTATATAATTATCCTCGAATTTCTGGACACCCTGTGTAATCTATGTTTTAATTTATTATTTATTATGTGTTAATAATTGAGTACGTGTGTTTGAAGCACATTGTATATTACTATTCGCAATTTATTCTTTCGTTGTTTCAATTGTTTCAGTAAACATTAAAACAAACTAAATAAATATTTAACTAAACATTACTTGTAACCAAATGAAATATAGTTACCAGTTGTGAAAATGCTAATGCTGAGACGCCCATTTGAAATTCGGTCATGCCAAACACGTATAGAGTGAGAAGAGTTTCTGTTGACCAGATACGAACATGCGGCTGCGCTTTTCTATGTCTGCCTGCCTTTTGGCCGGACGCGACAAGTTCTCTGCTAGGATGAACCTGAAATGGAAGCATGTTTTTCTTTTTGGTGTTGAAAAAAGTTATTATTACATTGTTTGTCAGACTTTAATGACAGTAAATATTAATGTTACTAATAATAATTATTAATTATTATTAATATAAGTATTAATAGTAACTATTAATTATTAATAAGAAGAAATAAACTCAATCTTATAAAAAATAAAATAGCAAACATACGTGTCTTGATAAATGTAATCAAACTTATATTGATTCAACACTTTCATCATGCAGAGAATTTCGTATACTCGTAACACTCTCTTTCTCAAATTAATACAAGGGTGCAGTATTTCTATGGGAATTCAATTTCCTTAGTTCACTTTTGTTTGCACACTATGAAATCAAAATGTTACTTACCTCCATACACATAATGTCTTCTGTGTGTCCAATGTAGTGTCGTTGCGCATTCTCTTCTCGATCGAAAAGTATTGCTACGGCCGCGACGTAATACAATAATTCGCCACTGGGTAAAACCCAAAGATTTTTGCGAGTGTCAGTTCCTCGATAACCGTAGACCCACTCAAGCTGCAGTTTTTTCTCAGGTGGCGAATTATCAACTGGAGGCAGATGAGAAGGAGGATAGAACGATCGTCTAAGTCCTCTGATCGTCACCCTGGCTGGTTCCTCACGTAGCACTTCCACGACGCTGTAATCTGCTGACGATATAAGTGTGTCTTTAATCTCATTGTTAAAGTATGCTCTTTATAAAAAAGAAAAAGAGATATGAGAAAGATCGAAAACGTTAAGAATATCAAGCAGATATCTTGCACTATTTCAATCTCTCTCTTAAGTAAATTTTGCAATACTTTGTTATTTTCTGGTCGATCGTATATATTCCGCGAAAATATACTTTTTATTCAATAAATTTTTCAAAAACTAAATTTGAGTATACATACAATTTTAAGACCAATAATAAGATTAAAGTAATCAAAACTGATCGTTAGTTACTTTTACCGTTTACTCGAACAACTTCAGGGTCAGGAGCATACAAAGCTCGTGGTCTGCTCTTGCTACGAGCCCTTCTCTGACGGCTAACTTCTTCTACGACGGTGGATGGTCCACGTGATCGTGATCTTCGTACCGGGGATGTTGTGACACCACCAGCCATGACAAGAGCCGACCCGGTACCCAAATAAAATGTATCTACGTCAGCAAACTCGTTCCGCAATTGCGAGAAACTCCTCACCTGTGGCATATTGTATAAGAGTAGAGCAATTTTATTTGATGGATATTTTATGATACTATAACAAATTATGAAAAATATGCGAATACTCGATATAAGATTGCATTCATTCTTTTAATCTCACAGGTTTGTTCTGTATAAAATAAAGTATTCTAAGAGTTATCTTTACGCTCTATGTTCTTAAAATAAATATTCTTTCGATGATTATGTAGTATTACATATTGTATTAAAATGACATAAATCTTTTATGAACTGAATATGTTTAATTTCTTTGCAAGAAATCTTATATTTATGATAAATATCAATGAATGATTTATTGCAATTAAATATTTTATTATATAATATTTTATTATATACTAAAGTTTAAATATAATATATACTTAAATAATGTATGTATAATAAGAAATTAATAATATATACATACAAATATTATAATTCGAACATCAGATAAGATATAAAAAGAGAGAAAGAAAAACAAAAAGAGACAAAGAAAAACAAAAAAGAAAGATAGAGAAAGAGGAGAAGGGTCGATGACGTGCTATTTAATGAAGAAAATTGGCCCATTTGAAATTCATGTACGATCGTGACCTGAAAAGATGAATCTCTGACCTTTTTACACACACGTGGGGGTACGTTCGTTCCACTTACATGACGACCACCTTCTGTGAGAGATATATAACCGTGTAATTTATTACAATGTCAAAAATTCAGTCGTAGTGCTCGATATTAATTTTCCTTTTTCGACTTCATTTGTCGTAAGTTCTTGAACGATACATTTTAATACTAATATAGTATAAGTCTGTGTCACATAGAATAATGCATACAACAGCTTTTAGAGCACGAGAATATCGGCGATGTGAAAAAGCTTCAAGCAAAGTAAAAAATTATGACTTTTTTGTAAATTAAGTTTTTTGCTTAAATCACAAATGCAGATTATTCTGACAACGTAAAGACGGAGGACAATTTAGATCAGATTAGATTAAATAAATAAATCTATTATATATTCACAATTACAGATTAAAATTATTGTTATCTCCTTAAATAAATTTATCTTATAAACAGTTTTATATTATGATATAAGAACCGATTTAAAAATTGTATAGATATGTTTATGGCTTTTCGAATTTTTTAAAAAACAGCCTGGAAAATGACAAAAATTATAAAAAATACTTTTCTAAAGAAAAATAATGTTATTCTAATGTAATATATCATACTTAATTATCGGAATACTTATACTTTAAACCAAATATATAATATAACAAAATACTTCGCTTTCATAATTTTATTGCGTATATTGTATATAAAATTAAAATTTTTGAAAGTAATAACAACAAAGAATTTTTTAGAAATGACTTATGGAACGTACAAATAACAACCTCATTTCGTAAAATCTCAAACGAGGGCCGACCCCGTTATCGTCATGCTTCGAGTTTTACTCCCGTCTTGCTTCTCCTCGCAGTCCGGCATGCATATTTATGGATTAACGTCGCACCCAAGTCGATTTTACAAGTACAATGCTGATACTTCAGATTTACATACGCCTTTTTTTCTTTTTTACACTTTCAAATCACGCACTGACATTTTCTAGATTCTTTTCAAATACCAACCGTAAAATGGCATATTAATTTTGTATATATAAATATACGAGAATTTAATAAAGATTTATAAATTAAAATTGTATTCAAAAAAATTTAATAAATTCTAATTTTTTTTATGACAGAAGAGAATAAATTTTAAATGTATTAGAAGAATATGTAATTTTATCAAGTTTTAAGTATTATGCTTTAATATTTTTATCTATACAATATTGATTGCAACAGTATATTTGAATAATAACTGACCTCTTGTCCTGAAACAGTAAACATTCTCTTAGCCCCGTTCATCTTCAATACTTGTCCAAGATCTTCTAAAACCTCCTCGAATGGTTGCGATGTACGAAGATTTAGCAGAACTCGACACTGACGAAAAAATAATTACATTAAAATTTGTATATCCTTAAAACTTACATTGATAAACATAATAACAAAAAAATTTCTAATTATTTAAGATATTAAAATAAAATATTTATTTAAAAAATGTAATATTGTCAATTGCTGAATTGATTTAATTGAAATTGTTTCTCAATTTAAATAAAATGTATGATTGAAATGCTTCAAAAATCTTTTTTTTATAAAAAATTGTATTTTTTAAAGAAATTAATTTTATATAGATAAAAATAGAGTTTTAAAAAAATTAAAAAGCGCAAGTAAAAATTAAATAGATAAATGTATATAGTATAGTAGAAAAATTATATAATATAATTAAAGAACACAAATTTATATTAACAAATACGTAGAGTGAAATAAATTATTTAAATGACAAAAATTCTAATGTATAAAAAAACACATATTATTTATTTACATGTATATATATTATTTAATTAATTTAAGGAAAGTATTCGTTTTTTAAAACAGAACGAAGAGTTAATAAAAGTTAAGAGAAGAATTAATGCGTAGATTAGTATATAGATATATCTCAGCCGATCTTGCCGCAATATGTAATAAATTAACAATTTTCAATCATCCTACCTGAACAGTATGATCATGGTTGTTAACAATACGAATGACACGGCCCGATGATGGCTTTCCGCCACCAGGGGGTGGCGCTTCTTCAGTGATGGAAGCTTTCCGGCTAAGGCTCGGTACCGCTGGCGGTCTACTTTGCCACCCTCCAACCCCACTTACGGTCCCAGTGGTACTGCTCCTACTACCTCCACCACCTGCAGGACTAGTGTACCAGGTGTTGTTTTTCTTTCCGTAGCTGGCCGGCTGACATGGAAAATTTTTAATTATTTTTCGCAATAAATTCTTCACCTTTTTGAGATGCTTCCCAGATGTCATAAATTCAAAGAAACATAACATTAATATTATAATTTCGCTCTCAACGATATAAATGTAACATAACATGATGTTACATAACAGTTACATTGTTAAGTGCGAAATTATAACAATGTTCTTTGAATTTACGTTGACTGCAGCATCGACGAAGCATCTTAAAATTGTAAAGAATTACGATACTAAAACGATTAGATATTCGAATTTTCTAAATACATTTTAATTTTGTTTTTAAAATTATAGTATACGTTATACAGTATGTATAATGTATACTATAACTCTAAGTAATTGACAGTAAAATACATAATAATAACACCCCTATTATCATTATTATGTATTTTACTGTCAGTTATTTTTTAAAGATATTTTATACAACATAATATTGAAACAAATTAGATAGTAAGATTATTTTAGTATGGTATACATTTTTAGTGTATTCGTGATATCATCAATTTTAAATTCTTAAAAAAGTATAAAATAAAATATTTTTTATTTTTTTCTTTATACATTATATATTTCATATTATTTCTGAACATTATATGTATGTTTTAGATTAAAATTTAAAGTTTCTTTTAAAATATTTTAGTAAATTCAATAAATGTCGCATAAATATTCAGACCTGTATCATGTCGGCCGGCAGCGATATTACTTCGAAGGAATCACTCATTAACACAACAAAACTGTCTGACCAACAACTTAAGTCTCGACTGTAATATTCAGTCTCCGAATCGCTGTAGTAGTCCTCTATTTCTTGTCTAGCCAAATTCGGCTCCGAATCGTCCGACTGGGACGAAGACAAACTTGCAGGCTCAATTGTGAATCTCAATTGACTCCTTACAACCTTTGAAGATTCACTTCACTTTTGTCACATTCAATATCAAACGCACGATATACAAATTCACATAATCCAAAAAATTAGCATTTCATAATTTATTTTATGGTTTTTGAAGAATATTAATTCTTCAATATTAACGATACTTTGCAAGTATCAAAAATAAATTTCTATTATGAATATTGGAAAAAACTAAACAAAGAGACACACTGAACAAATACGTTAAGACAAATGTTTTATAGGCAGAAAACGATCGAACGAGTGAAAGATTGCTTTGATTACGATCGCAACTTTAGGTAAACTTCCATCATTTCACTGCTCACGTTACGTTCTTGAAAATTCTCAATCTTCAATCGTAATACAATCTTAATTTCAGTTCTTAACACTCTTTTATAATTATGATATCATCGGTGTTTTTTCATCGAGAATCGAGAATATTAGAAGAAATTGGAGAAGCTAAAAAAAAATAATAATAAAAGATCGCGGTTTTTTATTACGTTTTACTGAAAAGAGGCGTTCACATTGATTTTGATATCAAATTCACCAATCGACAATAAAAAGTTTCAATGATGAGATTTGGCGTGAAAGTCCGTGACAATTATCTTTTCGTCAATCTTGAATTGCGTGACACAATTGCTGTCTTTCTTTCAAATACGGACGGAACACATTGATACAACCGCGACAGTGTTCAATGGACGACTACTGGGGCAAGTAAGAGGTGGGATAGTTGTATTGAAGAACTAGGGTGCTGCAACATCCCCTACCACACTTCTCCACCTTACGTTACCATACCTTATGAAGGGCTGCCGTCGCTCAAGGACGACCATCCCCTAACCCTTCACCTCCTCTTCCACCCCTCTTAATTCTCCGCGTAGCAATATTAATTCAATTCAGTATGCTGATACTACTGAAATTAAAGGAATATGCAACACCCTTTTCACGGTTATTCATCACTTTTAATGAACATATGAGCTTGCCTTGCTGTCATTTATACATCAATTGAATAACATTGTGTAATTTAATTGTAATACATGTAATATATTATATATATAAAGTAGTCTTGAATTATTCTAGTGTTTAAATATTTTACATCTTTGCAGATATTTTTTTTAAATTTCATTTCCCTTCTTCTCTCTGATTTTTATCATGAATAAAAAATAACACAATAGAAATTATAAACAATTTTAACTCAAACTTACGATTTTATATATAAAATACACATACTCATATAATTTGAGCCAAAATTTTTTATAATCTTTATTGTATCATTTATTACAATAACAATCAAAAAGAGAAAATGAAATTATTCAATTAATTAATTTAATATATCTGTAAAAATTTAATCAAAAATTTTTGACAATATGGAACATTTAGTGTTTTAAAATTAGTTTCTAGTAGAAGTATATTGAATTGAATTAATATTACTGCACGAAGAATACACACACATACATATATGTGAAAGAATTAGTTCTTAAAATTTACTCTGAAAATATATAGTAGTTAAGGTACAATATATATTATTTTAAAGATTTTTACATGCATTTCAGTAAAATTAATCGAACTTATTTTATATTTTATTGTAGTTTTATTAATGAATGTGAGAGATTCATATAAATTCTTCGAAATATAATGTGTTGCCCCACGATTACCATATTTTCAGAATAAATTTTAAGAAATAATTCTTTTTGTGTGCATATAATTACATACTTGTAATGTATTATTTGTAAGAGCGTGCACGTACAATTTTTTTTAAACTAAACTATCAAATCTATCCATTTTATATATAAATTTCAATATATCGGGGAGATAAGCAATAGTAATCACATATGTTTTGATTATTCTTAATAAAAGAACATTATATGTATGTTTTAGATTAAAATTTAAAGTTTCTTTTAAAATATTTTAGTAAATTCAATAAATGTCGCATAAATATTCAGACCTGTATCATGTCGGCCGGCAGCGATATTACTTCGAAGGAATCACTCATTAACACAACAAAACTGTCTGACCAACAACTTAAGTCTCGACTGTAATATTCAGTCTCCGAATCGCTGTAGTAGTCCTCTATTTCTTGTCTAGCCAAATTCGGCTCCGAATCGTCCGACTGGGACGAAGACAAACTTGCAGGCTCAATTGTGAATCTCAATTGACTCCTTACAACCTTTGAAGATTCACTTCACTTTTGTCACATTCAATATCAAACGCACGATATACAAATTCACATAATCCAAAAAATTAGCATTTCATAATTTATTTTATGGTTTTTGAAGAATATTAATTCTTCAATATTAACGATACTTTGCAAGTATCAAAAATAAATTTCTATTATGAATATTGGAAAAAACTAAACAAAGAGACACACTGAACAAATACGTTAAGACAAATGTTTTATAGGCAGAAAACGATCGAACGAGTGAAAGATTGCTTTGATTACGATCGCAACTTTAGGTAAACTTCCATCATTTCACTGCTCACGTTACGTTCTTGAAAATTCTCAATCTTCAATCGTAATACAATCTTAATTTCAGTTCTTAACACTCTTTTATAATTATGATATCATCGGTGTTTTTTCATCGAGAATCGAGAATATTAGAAGAAATTGGAGAAGCTAAAAAAAAATAATAATAAAAGATCGCGGTTTTTTATTACGTTTTACTGAAAAGAGGCGTTCACATTGATTTTGATATCAAATTCACCAATCGACAATAAAAAGTTTCAATGATGAGATTTGGCGTGAAAGTCCGTGACAATTATCTTTTCGTCAATCTTGAATTGCGTGACACAATTGCTGTCTTTCTTTCAAATACGGACGGAACACATTGATACAACCGCGACAGTGTTCAATGGACGACTACTGGGGCAAGTAAGAGGTGGGATAGTTGTATTGAAGAACTAGGGTGCTGCAACATCCCCTACCACACTTCTCCACCTTACGTTACCATACCTTATGAAGGGCTGCCGTCGCTCAAGGACGACCATCCCCTAACCCTTCACCTCCTCTTCCACCCCTCTTAATTCTCCGCGTAGCAATATTAATTCAATTCAGTATGCTGATACTACTGAAATTAAAGGAATATGCAACACCCTTTTCACGGTTATTCATCACTTTTAATGAACATATGAGCTTGCCTTGCTGTCATTTATACATCAATTGAATAACATTGTGTAATTTAATTGTAATACATGTAATATATTATATATATAAAGTAGTCTTGAATTATTCTAGTGTTTAAATATTTTACATCTTTGCAGATATTTTTTTTAAATTTCATTTCCCTTCTTCTCTCTGATTTTTATCATGAATAAAAAATAACACAATAGAAATTATAAACAATTTTAACTCAAACTTACGATTTTATATATAAAATACACATACTCATATAATTTGAGCCAAAATTTTTTATAATCTTTATTGTATCATTTATTACAATAACAATCAAAAAGAGAAAATGAAATTATTCAATTAATTAATTTAATATATCTGTAAAAATTTAATCAAAAATTTTTGACAATATGGAACATTTAGTGTTTTAAAATTAGTTTCTAGTAGAAGTATATTGAATTGAATTAATATTACTGCACGAAGAATACACACACATACATATATGTGAAAGAATTAGTTCTTAAAATTTACTCTGAAAATATATAGTAGTTAAGGTACAATATATATTATTTTAAAGATTTTTACATGCATTTCAGTAAAATTAATCGAACTTATTTTATATTTTATTGTAGTTTTATTAATGAATGTGAGAGATTCATATAAATTCTTCGAAATATAATGTGTTGCCCCACGATTACCATATTTTCAGAATAAATTTTAAGAAATAATTCTTTTTGTGTGCATATAATTACATACTTGTAATGTATTATTTGTAAGAGCGTGCACGTACAATTTTTTTTAAACTAAACTATCAAATCTATCCATTTTATATATAAATTTCAATATATCGGGGAGATAAGCAATAGTAATCACATATGTTTTGATTATTCTTAATAAACGATCAATAGGGACCGTTTTGCCTCTTGTTAGTTTGGATGATAGAAGTTTTATTGAGGTTCATGCTTGTTTCGATAAAAGGCGATAAAAGCATCCGCGGAA